ACCGCAGGCATCACGCTGTGCTCAGCCCTCGGCCAAGCCGAAGGGACGAGGGGATCCTCGTCTTCCCACAGCAGAGGACGTAGGAGTCTGCAGCAGCACAACAAGACAACAGCTCGGCCAAAGAGGGGTTTGCCCTAAATCTCATAGCTGGGCCGAGTGCATTTTGTAGTGCTCTGCAGCCAGCAGAAGGGCAGAAATGAAGCTTTGAGCTTCAGCATTTGCTTAGCTGTAGTGGTGCTGGGTCCCGTGCTGGGTCCCAGACAAAACTGCCAATGGTTCCTTTTGAACCCAGAGCTACCCACATCCACTGCGAGCCCAAGCTTCTCCTGGGGAAGCTCTGTCCTGGTATTTGCAGCCTCCTTGTTCTTTGCAAATGCACCTTTTTCATGGGGACCCCGCATAAATCAACACTGATCTCTCTCCTCCCCCATTTTACAGGGCGATGCCGGGGATCCACTCGTCTGCAACAACAAAGCCTACGGCATCTTCTCCTACAGGCATAACAACTGGCCGGGTTTCTACACACACATCGCTCCTTACATTCCCTGGGTCAACAGTGTCATGAAGTCAGCATGACCCTACTCTCCCCCCAGCTGCTGCCCTGGAAAACTCACGCTTCAGGGCCCCACGCTCACCTGCTTTTTCTTCCTTTCTCCCCGGGAAACATCTTCCACCGATCCTCATGGACATGGCAAGGACTTCTCTCTGGCAAAGCCAAACTACGGCAGTGGGGGGCTCGGCGCAGAGATTGCGCCTCGACCGTGTTTGTTCCCCGCGCAAGCTAGGGAGCGCCCGCTGGCACCGTGCGCGCTCCCACACTTTGTTGCTCCGATTTACCCCTTTGTCAAGCTGCTTGTGGCTGCAGCTCTAGAAAGGAGGCAGCAGGACAGCCCCGAGTGAGGTGACGGTAGCTGCTGGGATGCCTGCCGCCCTTCGGGGAGAGCAGTACAATTGGATCGGGGGGATCCAAAGAGCAGCCTCCTCCCTGCCCCTTACATTTGTGACACCGGATGCCTGGGTCCCCTCTGCCCGAGCCCTGGGGCTAGAGGGTTGCCCCAGCTCCAAGGAGGACACATTCAGCTCCTGCTTCACTGCTGCTGCTGCTGCTGTCCTACCTCTGAAACCTGCTGCCTCCTTTCTCCCCTCTTGCTGTAGCTCCGGTATTGTAAGAATACATAAAAACAATAAATTGCATCTGCATTTGAGAGCCTTTTTCCTTCCATGATTTGTATTTCTCTCAGCCGCTGGCTCCAGTCCTGAAGAGCTCAGAAGAAAGTCACTGCCCAAACAGCTGAATCCCAGGCTTGAAGTTTCTACCCTAACCAGTGGCCTCCACT